AGACGAGTTTGTACATTATGCTCTTAAGCTAGTATTATACTACATATGTAATTCACTACAAAAAACATCGAAATAGGCACGGACTTAGCACGGATTGGGCGAGTTTGGCACGGACTGTAACTTATTTTTGGCACAGCGCCGTGCCAAATAGCTGGAGACAAAACGACTTTGGCACGGAATTTGGCACAGATTTAACGCATCTGTGTCAAATCTGTGCCAAATACCCTACGAATTTTGGTAAATCCGTGCCAAAGCTCCGTGCCAAATTCGTGCCAAAATCGTTGTTTTTTTGTAGTGTATATTTTTTTATTTTACTTTAATAACTACTTATTAATTATTACTCAGAATTAGTAAACATAATCATAATAATAATTAAATATACTTTTTATAAGTGAAAGTACTTATATAACATTTTAAGTTTTTTAATAAGGGTTTATTCATATTGAGTGTCCATCTAATTTAAGTACATTATTGGAGGATCTCATGTACAATTAGTTGTACCAATATCTCTCTCGGTATAAGTCATAAGAGATGGGTCAATTGAGCACAACTTCAATTTTTATAACTAGATTTTGTACCCGTGCGTTGCACGGAGTGAATAAGTTATATTTTAACTATGTCATTAGATGATAGTGAGAACCTAATGAATAGTTCGAACAATTTGGTTTAAAATCTCTCGAAAGTTTGGGATAAGTTCTTGAGAGCACATGATTAGTTTGGCGAAATTAGGATCACCATGTTCTAATTAAAAAAAATTGTCATTGGATATGTGACGATTATGGGGAAATGAAGAAAATAAATGAGAGCGAGTCCGGACCGGAATCGGGACTGGGACCAGACTGCCCGGGTCCCCGAAATCGACCCAGACCCAAGCTTCTCATACCAATTACCAGGACCGGCCTGTCCAGGACTGGGACCGGGTCCACCCCTACAATTACTCATAAAGACATGACTCAAATTGTCATTGGATAGGTGACGATTATGTCATATCAACTTGAGTCATGTCTTCATGAGTAATTGTAGGGGTGGACCCGGTCCCAGTCCTGGACAGGCCGGTCCCGGTAATTGGTATGAGAAGCTCGGGTCTGGGTCGATTTTGGGGACCCGGGCAGTCTGGTCCCAGTCCCGATTCCGGTCCGGACTCGCTCTCATTTATTTTCTTCATTTCCCTCTGTTTCCAAGTCGAAAAGAAAAAAAATTGGCTGGATCGGGATTGAATCTGGGACCGCCCTATGTTGGTCCCCAAATTGGTGAGCCGGGACCGTGTAACATGCTTGGCCGGGCTATGAGTGATCCTGAGCCCAAACCAAATTTTCCGGACTCGGTTTTTGGACCGGGTCCATCCATAACTAATTGTATTAACTTTTTTTTGAAAGGAAACTGGTTGTATTAACTAATAGTATTAACTTTAATCATGCTAAATTATGTTCAATTTTTATTCTTAAAAATATTTAAAATTTAATATCAATTTCATTTTTCTTTATCTTCCACATAAACTACGACTCAATATTTTTTATATTCTTTATCAATTCAAAAAAAATGTAATCTAAATAAAATAGGTATATTACCTTTCACGGATTTAATCAAGTGACACGATGGCGTACAGTTATCAAATTCCAGGAGTTATCACAAATGCATTACACTTACCAATTCCATCAATAACATTTATCACAATAGTATAACGATTTTACTCTTTCCATTAATACCTTATGTGTACGTGGTAACTTTTAATAACATAAATGATACTACACTAAGCTACACTTACCAAGTTTAAACATATTTTTGTCATTACATTTGTGTCATTCGATGTGCATTAATTAAGTTACAGATTTACCATATACGGTGCATGGGCGGGAAAAGCAAGGTCAACACCTTGTTACTTTATATTATTATAGATGTGGAGCTACTCAATAATTACAAGTAGAATTTTTTAGTACGTGTTTGATCAACCAATTATGGTACATGCATAAAAGATAAAAATGGATGTATGTTACCCTTATTATATTTTAAATGGAAATCTATTGTAAATGCATGTATAGTATTCCATATGAGTGTATGACCATTTTCTATAACATGAAATCATTAAAATGTTTTTATAAAGAAATACACATGCATATTAGACAACAATTTTAAAATATGACAAACCATATTTATATACATGTCAGTATGTCACCCTATGTTAAGGGTTCTTAACTATTGAGCTATTATGTTTATGAAAGGGTTATTATTGCTCTCTACCGGTCCACGTTTTTATCACCCATACATTTGTTTTAGGAAAAAAGATAATTTTATTGGAAGACGTAAAAATTACAATGCAAAAAGGAAATAAAAGAAAGAAAATAAATCAGTACAACGAAAGAAAAGCCTAAAAAACTAGACCCAAGGAAATTCTCTAGATTGAGACCTAGTCGTCATGTTGTGCCGTCTTTTATTCTTTTGAGATTTCCTGTAAATTTTGAGTTGTGTGTTCAAGTTTTCCGTTGGCAGGCAATTTTCTGAGGTAACAAACTTGGATTTGCTACAAATCGCTCTGTTGAATTTTGATTTTCTAATTTCTGTCGGTGTTGAGATAGGGGGACGACGACCGCTTTCAGTTGCATGTCCCAGATAGTCGTCCATGTAAAAAGAGTCGTCTGATTGATAAAAGCTATTTGATGCGTCTGAGTAAGACTGAACAAGTCTGTGTTGTTCCATTGGAGTTAGAGACCATTGTTTCTTTGAGTAGGCACCCTGATTACGTACTACGTATTAAACTTCATTTACCTGCCTTTAATATGTTTCCTATCACTCCATATCACTTTTATTTGACTTTTTAGTTTTTTCAATTCAGTTTTTTTTTTTTTTACTTTTTCGAACATTGACATGTTAGTTACATTTTCTGTTTGGTACAATAACAGTAAAAAATGACCTTTAACTATTTTTTCCCTTCAAACATTGACCTATATCATTTTATCGGTAGTTTATCAAGAAACTTTTGTAAGCGACTTGAATTTTAACATAACTATTTATTTATTCTTTGGTTTAGTGCAAATTTCTTGTTAATATTTGAAACATCTTACTTTATATGAGTATGATTAGATTTGTGTAATACATTTGCATAAATAAAACAAATATCCTTTAAAAAAAAATAATCCACAAGTACATTGATTTGAATAGAGAAAAACAACATTATCATTTTCTTGATAAGTTAGTAACTTATATATGTAGTATATAAGTTACACGTTTTTACCCTAGCGAGAGCTGTGGGGTTGGAATTTCGCCGGCGAAGTCTTTGTCGTCTTCGTGCGGCGCTGGGTATCGACGCGGCTATGGAGTCGTTTGTGTGCGGCTTGGTCAATTGCGGTAGCAAGGCTATGGAGGACGGTTCAGACGGCAGACACAAGGATGGCCGTGACCGAGAGGAAGAGCAGGTGGGTGATCTACGAATAGATGATGATGAGGCTTCTGAATCCGACTCCGGGGCAACAACGAGGAGGCAATCAATCAAGCGACAAATGTCCGACCTCCTCCTGAACCACCGCCAGGAATTGCACGAGGTGCTAGGGTTCAAGACTTTTACTTTGCATTTTTAGTTTTTCTCATGTTTTGTCCTCCTCCAATGAGACTTTATTATTTTGTCATTTGGTTTCTCGTTATTGTCCATGTTGTTAGGTGTGTCGGTCTGTTTGGGATTTTAGCCTTTGTTCAGGTCATTAGGTATGTTTGGATCTTTGGAGATAGGGATGACTGTGCCAAGCCCGTTACATGGTTAGCGATTCGTGTTGCTCTTTCAGGGGTGGCCGTCTCTGAATCTCACCATAGGGTTTACGGTTGTAGTTGTTGGTGACTGGTTGGTGTCAGATTTGTTTTTCATTTCATTGATGTAATGATCCTGAAACTTATGATATGAATAGAGACTAGTTTCGTTCAAAAGAAATGTAGTATATAAGTTATTAAATCGTATTCAACACGTTAAGCTAATTCAGATTTAAATAAGGTAATTTGAATCTGTTTTGCATAATTCATAATTGAAGCACCATAATTCATAAAATATGGAGTATATTTTTTTGCCTCATAATTCAGCAGATTCAGGTGCTTCAGCCTTATTTAGCTAATTTTAGTGTTGTCAAACGAGTTCTATGTTTTATAGAGTTTATAACAACAAGTAAATTGTTTTTCTAATTCTCATGTTAATTACTCACGCTTGGTTTCAAGAGTCTGTTATGACGGCGGAGCATATGCTTGTGCCAATTTTGCGAGGTTCATCTATTTTTTCTCTCTAGGGCGTTCCATCGCCGCTAGAGCTCTATTCCTCCGTTATCGGTTTCGACCGAGAAGCGGTTAATTCAAAGTGGTGATTTCTGATGGTTCATACGAAGGACAAAGGGCTTGCTAAGAGGATTGTGCAAGGGTTGCCTTATCCCATCGAGTTCTATGCTTCGACTGTGCGAGTTTGTTCCGTGCGAGACAGCAAAGGGCGAGCGGAAGGAGATTTAGCATGGGAGAGATGAAGGGATCTTGACAGGAGACAATCGGCCTTGTGTGCTTTCTTAGCACAAGACTTCATCGACGTTTCAATGAGGTGGAACAGATGAAGGTTGCTCGGCAGGAAACCGACCGTGCAACAGTTGGGAGTAGAGCCTTTTGCACTAGGGTTTGGAGCCGTGTCTTGTTCATGTCAACAATCATATTGATGGTCCGACCTCCTCCTGAACTACCGCCAATGGTTGTATGAGGTGTTAGGGTTCATCAGTTCATGAGGTGTTAGTGTCGGTTTTTTATTTTGTTGAGGACTATGTTTATTTTCAATTCTTTATTGTTTTGTACTGTAAGACTGTAAGCTTGGATTTGGGTGACAAGAAGTCTGCGGTGATCGTCTATGACTCAGTTGCGCCCATTAATGGATCAGCGAGTTGTATTGCTTCGATTGAAGTGATTAACTCGTCAGTTGCCGGTGGTCATTTTGTTTGTTTAGCCCATATCTGAATGTTGTGATATCAATATAAGCCACCTTTCATAAAAAAACAAGTAAATAAGTTTTTTAATACTTCATTTATACCAATCTGATGGTAAATGGCACTGTTGGTAGGAAATAAGTGACACTTGCGGTTCGCCCTATGAACTATAGAGGACATCAACTGCAGTAGGCGTTTCCTCATAAGCTCTACGCAGTGAACCTTGATATCTGTTTGGCGAAGATAAGAATTTCACATGCATAAACTTCCTATGCAAAACAAACAACCTATGCGGTGTAATATACGATAGTATTCGATTCTCAAGGGTTGGTTATTGTTACTTTGTTAGTCGATTCCATAAAGATTATTCCTCAAAAGAGCTCAATTCTTTGATAATAGATTCATAGATCTTGATCCCCTCCAAGAAAACAGTGTCCTTCAGAAACTGCCAAATAATATACATTGTTAACCAAGGTAGTAGATGGGAGTATAATAAATTGGAGTAAATGAGTAACAACAAAATGATTAAATATATGGGTGGACAAGTTTCACAAACCTCATTATGGTCGTGAAGTAAAATAGGTGTATTCTTCATAGGGGAGAAGCCAAAAGTGGGAATCCCCTTTTCCCTCATGAAACGAGCATCAGTAGTTGAAGACAAAATTTCAGGCTTCGCAAGTTTGCCACCTGCTTTCGAAATGGCTTCCTTTAAAACAGACCACCAGGGGTTGGAATCTGAAGTTGGAGTTAGCAGAGGGCGACCCATGAAGTCTCTTAGCGTCCCTTTCTCTACAATCTGCAACATCAGGAGCATAGGAATTTTATGACAAGGAAGACAAAAAGCATATTGTGGTCCATGAAAGAGAATATGATACGTAGTACATTTCATATTCCTAGTTGGATACCCTCACGTGGGTCATTATGCACATTGACACTTGATTAACTAATTAATGTGAAGGTCTTATAAATCCATATGTCCTGTTTCTGAGGACTCTTTCTGAACTGGATATGTCAAACATGCTCAAATGTAGAATTACTGATAATGACATTGTGAGTCATCTTTCTTTATGAAAAGGAGAACTTTTTGATACAAAAAACATTTGCTGATACAATTCATATGAGATGACCTCAAATGTCATGTTTCTCCAAGAAGGTGCCCATTCCTCGGCAATGGTTTTCCTCATTAGCTCCGGATCAGCTGTTGGTGGCATTCTGATATCAAATCCAGCTTCTGCCTCTGAAGGTTGCATATTCATCACAAACCCCTGCATGATTATTTTAATCGCAAACTAGGTATTAACAATAATTATAATACTAACAGCAACAACAACAACAGGGCAAAATAATATCATAAGAAGTTTCCCCTATAAGTCAAGGACAACCTGGTGCACAACAAGGCGATGTCTGAGGAAGGGTCTCACCACAAGGGCGTATAAGGAAGCCTTCCCATGTCAATTTTTGACAAGAGGTCGCTCCCAAAGACTTGAAACCCTGACCATCGGTCACACAAAAACACCTTAATTGGTGCACCAAAGCTCCCTTTCAATATCACTAAAATAAAACTCATGTACAAAGATGACTACATGATAATTACTGTTAGGGGCTTAGGGTAGAGCACGTGAGAGGTACATGAAGGTCATTTAAGAAACACGTCTTGTCCCAAATTGCGGTTGTTACAAAATCAAGGAACCAATGTCGCCCCAAAAACAAACAACACCAATCTTGTTCGATATCAACTTTCAGTACCATTTGGTTCTAAAGAAAGTAAATAACTCATAAATATCAGATAATTCATTGCAAGTTGGATGGTGATTTTAGTTTTAGAGCATGTTTAGTAATTATTACAAAAAAGCCTTCTATTTTGAGCTAATGGAATGAGTCTAGTGTATTAAGTAATAAGGACTGTGATCTTATAATTATAATTAGCCAAATTAGGTATTATTTTGTGTTTATATACATTCACATATATATGCATAATGTATATATACACACATATACAATGGGCTCTTTGGGATAGTTCAGTTCAATATGATTCTAAGACAGTTTAAAAAGGTTCCCACTAAACACTCACTAATGCACCAAATCAATAAAAATCGCAATGCTCCAATGCCGTGCTAATTTTTTTTTGTTCTTTGATACTCGTTTGGATCAAAATGGTTCTATATGAGAGGCAAAACCCCACATCCCCGCTCACCCCTAATTACAGTAGCTCCATGCATATAAAAAAATCGCATTTTGTCTAATTTCTTAGAATATATAATATCTGAGTTTCCAGAATCACTCACAGTTGGTGATGGAGTCCCAGCCTTTAGGTAAACGGGGTTGACCGAAATGACCTCTGAATTGGCTGCCAACCCTGCCTTGACTTTGTCGAACTGTGCATCCCGGAATTTTGTGATAACCTCCACAGACTTCATCAAGTTCTCCATGGCAGTATTATCATACAACCGAGATCCGTGTCCAGGCATCCCGGCCGCCTTAATCACCATGTGCCAGGGGATTCTATCGGCGTAAAACACCCTGAACTCATCAGTGGGTGAGGCCTGGCCTTCATCCAAAACGAACCCCACATTCAAGTCTCTGAACTCTTGGGAGGCTGCGAACTTGGCCATGCCATCGAAGCCCCCGATTTCCTCTTCGGGAACGAAAGAGATGTGGACATTCCGGAGTGGAGTGAAGTCGGGGGATCTGATTTGGATGGCCCTGATAGCTTCCAAGTACTGGATGCCGATGCACTTGTCGTCCTGGGCTCCGCGAGCGAAGATTTTCCCGTCGGAGGAGCGGTGGGCGGAGAAGGGCGGGTGGGACCACTTGGCGGGCTCGGCGGGGACGGAGTCGAGATGCGAATTGAAGAGGATGGAGGGAAGCGAAGGGTCGGAGCCGGGCCAGGTGAGTAGAAGTAGGGGTTTGTTTGGCGGCGGAGAAGTGAAATACAGAAGCTGGGATCGGAGGCCGGGGATGGAGCTGGCCAAGGCGGTGAGGAAATTGACGGCGGAGGGGTAGTCAGGGTTGGGGTGGGCGGTGTTGATTCGAAGGTACTGCTGGAAGTGGGTCACCGGTGAGTAGTCCAGCAGCTGCTGGTGATCCTGGCCCGCCGCAGATGTTGATGGTTCTCCGGCTGTGACGACGAAGATGAAGAGTGTGAGAGCTGAGAGGTGGTGGAGCATGGCGAAGCTGCAAACGGCTGAGGGATTGGACATGGAGCTTAGCACGTACCCAGTTGGTACTGCCGGAGTAGCGACCTGCCAATCAATCTGAACGTGCCCGGCGAGGCCGATGGACATTGCCAAAAAACAATAAAAAATCACTTTTATCAAAAATATTACTGAAATAAAAATTATTTATACAAATAAAAATAGAATAAATTCCACTTTTATTCCTATGAGTTTTAGGTCAATTCCACATTTAGTTCACATCTTTGACTTTGTCCACTTTTGATACATGACTATTGTGTTTTCGCCCATATATGGTCCTTCCGGCATGGTTTTCAATGGTTAAATCACCGGAAATGGACCGCAAACGGTTAAAAAAACATTAGTCAAGTACTAAAAAGGACAAAGTGAAAGACGTGAACTAAAGGTGGAATTGACACAAAACTCGTAGGACCAAAAGTGGAATTAATTCAATAAAAATATGACTATAAGTAACTACACCATAGTGTCATGATGATATTGATTAAAGAAATTCTTTAATCACCTTGAAAAACAGAAAGCTATCATAGATAAAAAGAAATATAAATAAATAAATAAATAAATGGGCTCTAATACCAAGTTCTTTCACAATGTTGTCAAACAAAGGAGTAGGCATGTAAAAAAAGGCATGTAGAGGCCCGCTCTGCCCCGAGGCATTTGAGGCGGGTCTGACCAATCCTGTCTTGCAAATGGAAAACCCCTTAAAAAGGACAACCCAAGATCAAGAAGGATTTGTGACACTCAAGTTGGATATAAGTAAAGTTTATGACAGAGTGAAGTGAAACTTTCTCTTTAAGGTGAGGAGGGCTATGAATTTTGCGCCAGGTGGATTAAACTAGTTTAAATCCGCGTGGAAGGTGTAGAGTACAAAATCTTTTCAGAGATGGGGAGATGATTGGTCCGATTAGAGCCCAATGGAGCCTTCGATAACGAGACCCTTTATCCGCATATTTGCTTATTTTTGTTGCGGAAGGTCTGGGCTTGCTAATTTGGAAGAACGAGAGGCTAGTTAGGGAGGATTCATGGGATTTCAGGGGCTCCCGTTTATTTATTATCTATGATAGCTTTCTGTTTTTCAAGGTGAATGAGGAGGAGTGCAATGTGATCAAAGGCATCTTGCAAAGTTATGCACAAAGCTCGGGAGAAAAGATTTATTTGCGAAATCCTAATGATGTGTCGGTCGGGGTGAGGGTCAGTATCTGCAGGTCATTAGGTGTTTGGAATGGAGAAATGTGTAACCGTTATCTGGTTCTGCCTACTCTAGTTGGGAGACGAAAGTCATATATTTTGGGATATTTGAGGGAGATAATTTTAAACTGAATATTTAACTAGTTGGAATAATAGATATTTATCCAAAGCTAGTAGGGAGGTTCTCCTTAAAACTTTCATTCAGGCAATGCCTTCATATGTCATGAATGTTTTTCTACTCTAGTTAAACCTTTGCTCGACATTTGAGAGATATAATGAATGGCTACTGGTGACGGGGGACAAGCCTAGAGGGAAGGGGTATCCGTTGGAAGTCCTTGAAGGATTTATGTATTCCAAAATCTAAAGGTGGTTTGGGATATAGATCAGTTAGGGAGTTCAATATTTCATGTTGGGAATATAGGTATGATGACTTACCATCGACCACAAATCGCTGGTGGGCAAGGTTTTCAAACCTCGCTACTTTCCTCACTCTTTGTTCCTGGAGGCGAAATTAGGAAGCAACTCAACTTTCATATGGAGTAGCATTCTTGAGGCTCAGAATATGATACGAGAAGGGCCGCGTAGCATAGCCGCATAAGAGGGTTGGCAATGAAATAAATATCTCCCTTTGGTGGGACAGATGGCTTCCGAGGGAATGGAATGGACGAGTTACATTAGTCCAACCAAATTACATTGCTATTATGAATGTCGATCCCTTATTAAAGAGGACTGGTCCGATTAGAAGTTGGAAACAGTACAAGCTATATTTAATGCGCCTGAGAGAGCGGCTATATTGGGTATTCCTCTCGGTCGGAGGGAGGTAAAGAATGAGTATTGGTGGATTATTGACTCCCGGGCACAACACACGTTTTATGCAGGTTACACACAATTGATTGGGGAGATTGAGGAGGAAATTTGGCTAGGTTGGACCAAATGTGGGGCTTCTTTATGCAACAAAAAGTTAACATTTTTTTGGCGAGTCATGGCGAATGTGCTACTAACGGTGACAGATCGACTGAGGAAGCGTAAGGTGGATATGCCAGGTAAATCTAGGTAATGAGGAAGAGGAGACACCAACTCACCTATTCAAAAATTGTCGGGTTGTAGTCTGTTTGGAGAAAGCAGGGAAAGATTTTTAGCATCCAAAGTTATCTATGTAGGAGTGGGTGGAGAGCTTATTAAATTCCATGAGAGAGGAGGATTTGTGCACCTTGATATCTGTATTTTGGAAGGAGTGTAATGATGTAGTATGAAATAATCATGTTTTTAATGCATTTTAAGTGATTAATGTTGCGACGGCCGTTCTATTAGAGTGGTGCGCAACTCAGGATCCCATAATTCTGTGTGGAGATGCAAAGGAGGAGGCTTGGTGGGTAAAACAAGTTAGAGGATTATCAAGATTAATGTTGATGGTGGTGCTACACACGATCGACGGGAGAGAAGGGCTTGGGGATGGGTTGCTAGAGATTGCAATGGCGAATTTATCAGCGGCGGTCATGATGCTTGTACAACGAACTGGTTGACAAGAATCACAAAGACAATTGGAGTTAAGGAATCAATCAGCTATGCAAAAAGTCAATGATGGGATTGGATAATCATAGTGACTGGTGCCCCAAATGTTAGGACAAGTCTCAAGGAATGTGCATGCGATTCTTATCTTGAAATGATTATAGAAGACATTAGACAATACTTGATCTTGCAGCTATACTTGTTGTTCAATTTTGTAAACGATTTGCGAACCGTGTAACCCATAAGTTTGCCAAGGTAGCATTGTCACATGTGGGTATAGTCACTTTGACGTTAGTCTGAGTTGTATTTTGAGACTTTTGGCGAATAATTGTTTAAATTAATGAAGTTGGACTATTTCCATTAAAAATACAAAAATGTCATGATCATTAAATGTAAAAATTGAACATAAATCACTGATTGTATGATGTAGTTATATTGTAGTCATTATACTCAAGATGTATTTATAAAAAACATTTATTATGATCATAAACATGTAATTATTTATCATAAGAAGTTCATATTAAATTCATGTGCCTTAGGAGTTTCGCTTTTAGGGTCAGTTTGCTAACAACTAGAACGGCTGAAAAGGCTGAAAAGACTTAAAAGGCTGAATCTGCTGAAGTGAAAGTGTTTGGTAACATTCTGGCTGAAATGGCTGATTGAATGTAGAATTACCATAAATGGTATTGATTTACTTGTTTCAAATATATAGGTCTAGTTAAACAAATATAATTACATAATTAAACCTCTTTTTTAACGAACATATCTAAACCTCTTGATAATTAATATTATAATTACACCCTAATTATTCTAGCTACAATCTCTAGGCTGCCAAATTTAAGAAGAATTCAACCAATTTAATAATCGTCCAGTAGGATTAGAACTAGGAATAATAAATTTGAGTTTATCCAGCATCTCAAACAACTCTTACACCTTCTTATCACTTTGTATTATACTCTTTATTCCTATAATCCTTTCCGTCCTATAAGTTCGTATCCTACTCTGTTTTTTTAGAACTCTTAGAGCTGATTTGACAAAGATTTGAAAACAATCTAAGAATCCTTCTCCCAACATCTATTTATGAACAATTAGTAATAATCAATATTAAACAAAAACATCAATAATCATTTTCATATATTTAGCTATGAGACCTAGGAAGAGGAAGAAGAGAGAGCAATATGGAGCAGCCAAAAATGATGCATCTCAGGTATGCTCCGTATAAAAGATGGGCAGAGAAGTCATTTAACTCATCAACAGTGAAATAATAGTTTTCAGCCAAAAAAGTAGCAAAACACTTGCCTTTTGGACTGATAATAAGAATAAGCCAAAACAGCCCATCTAATGAGTGTTTGGCATGTTTTTTTGCATTTTCAGGCTTATAAGCCTATTTTGTGTCCTCCAAACAGCCTCTTAACCTGAACCCTCTTGCTTATTGTTTATTATTGCTTTATTCAGATCGGATCATTTTTTTTTTATATTATCAAATCAGATATCTTTTTTAGATGAAATCATAAAGATTCAAATAAGATTAGATCATATATGAGAAAAATTCAGATAAGATCATATCGAATTAGAAACATTCAGATCTCGGCTCTCACACTCTTCAAAAAATTATGACCTGACTGGAATAAAATAATACTACCCCCGTGCTATTTTAGATGTATTCTATTGGTTTGACACAATTATAAATAAAGTACATGAAAAAGTAAAAGTTGTGGTAATATTTGAGTATAATAAAGTGAAATGTTATGAATCATATACTATCGTATTTCTTTTCAAAAAAGAAACGCGACACTTTTTTATAGACAATTTTAAAAAAGTAAGACAAATAAAATGAGATGGAAGCAATACTAAACAATAAGAAATAAGGTTCAACTGAAAAGAACAACTCATAAAGCATATGAATTTAATATGAAGTTCTTATATATAATAAATAATTGCATACTTATGACCATAATAAATGTTGTTTATAAAAATTTGATCTCTTAAGTACAACAGCTACAATAACTTATGAGAAAAAACCTCATAAGTTGCAACGGGTGTTATAGTCACTTACAATCACTACACCTAAGTGTAAAAATTGAACATAACATGCTCAACCTAAAGTTGATATTGCAATCACTACAATCACTACACCTGAGGTAACATTTTTTCTTATGTTTTCAGATTTATTTTTTCTTCAAATTTCTATTCTTATGCATGTGCTGATTGTTTAAAAATGGAGGTTTGATTAGATTACAAACAAATTAAGAATGGTGATAAATTTTGGACAACCCTAATGAATTTCGTTATTAAATTTATAAGTTTTATACTTTTAAGAATGTTTTTAACAAACAACTTTACCATATACCTTTCATATTTTAAATAATTTGGAATTAAAAATATAATAGGTCAAACTTGACCATCATTGGATAAG